ATCCCAAACTCATTCCTGTAAGAAAGTATTAGCCTGATACCAAAATCAGAGAATGATCCAACCAGAGAGAGAGAGAGAGAGAGAGAGAGAGAGAGAGAGAGAGAGAGAGAACACTACTACAGGCCAATCTCCCTAATGAACACAGAGACACAAATCTTCAATACGATACTGGCAAACAGAATGCATCAAATCGTCAAGAAGATTATATATCATGACCAATAGGATTCATTCCAGGTATGCAGGGTTGGTTCAATATATGCAAATCAATAGACATAATGCAAATCAATACATCACACATATTTAAAGATCACTTATGCTTTTTTCCTATGCTGTACTTGAAGCCCTAAATTGCTTTACTTTTCCCCTAGCAGCTATCACAGTACCTGGTACATCACAGATGTTCAGTATATTTAATTGAACTATTAATAAAGTTGAACATGAAGCATGCTCTCCCATCTCTTCCTTTCCCAAGTGCTCTAGACAGCAGCAAAACTAAAACAGTCATTACTTTTCTCAAATATACTCAGCTTCCACAGTTATGCTTTTGAGAAGATTTAGGCCATCTTCCTCATCTACCAATAATTTACCAAAACCGTATTTCAGATCATCCTTGATGTCCTCAGAGTTCTAGTTGAAGTCTTCTCTCACAGATATGGATCCTTCTTCTGCTCAGTGTTGCTGAGCAAGCATGGCATCATCATGCTGGTGCTGTCACTACTAGCCAACCGCAAGACCAACATGGCAGTGATTGAACCTTTACTATTAACTGCTATCTTAATGCATTTAAGTATAGCTTTTTCTCCTGATTATTAGACTAAACTCTCATTAGTTAGTTAAAAGTAACTGGCTGTTGTTTCCATCATTCACTCACTATGAGTCAGGGTACTTGACGGCAGATGTTGAATCCATCAAACCGTGCAATCCAGCTTCTTGCTCCAGCCATCCTCTAGGTTAACATTAACTATGAGAAATATCAGAGGCCAAGTAATCACTCGCACCATGCTTCCCCCAATGTCATTATCAATATACTTTTGCCAGTATTCCCCATCATCTCTAGTAGAAGGGGTGGGGGACTGAATGCATTGTCATTTAGAGATACTGACCACTAAATCCAAGATAGCTCAAGCCTATTTCATTCCTCATATGCGTTTTTTTATAGCTCTGTGATTTAATGTGTAGGCTTATGGGTCAAATGCTTTGACGATGCCTATTTTCTCTGTAAGTCTTCAATCTCCATAAGAAAGCAGATCATGAATACTTTGTTCCCTGCTGAAATGCGCATCTATCAAGTCATTATTTTGTGTTCAATAGTTTGTGAATGTTTTCTCCAAGTTCACTGTGCATATCTTAACCTTATGTCAAGTCTGTTCATCTTTCTTTCATAGATTTAGAGATCCTGTTATATGTATTTTTAATTAGTTCCTTGGAAGCATTTCTAAAGATTAAAAAAAAAAATGTGTAGGTGTCTCCTTAAGAGTTCTGATGGATTTTGTTAAATTGGCCACTCTCTGGCCCCTAGCAAAAGTGTGACTTGCATTCTCAAAAACTGACCAGTAGACTTATATTGCTAAAGCTTGTCAGGAAAACCAAATAGAGTTCTTTAATACAAGGTAGCAGTAAATCTGAAAATTTCAAGAGTTAGAGATCTCAAGCAGGACTTCTCTCTTCAGTGCTGTCTTCAAGAGGCACATTTTGATTACCGTCCACAGCATTAAATCATGTAGGCATATTTCCACGGCTTCCAGAGCAGGGATCTGTAGATTTTTCAAAAAATGAAATAGGAGCTTCCCTAGTTCTTCTAGCTAATCCCAACTAAAAAGAGTCAAAAAGAAACTTTGCTAGAGTGACTCTCCTAAAAAATAAATCAAAGACAGGGATTTTAGAAAAAGATTTTCAAAAAGACAAATGGCCTTGAGACCTGCACCAAGAGACTAAAGAAAGAGCTGACAGGCAAGACAGAAAAATCCAGGTCCACAAACACTAAGATGTCGCTACCTCCAGTAGAATACAGATAAAACAAAAGATAGCATGTACTCACAGCTTTGTACTAACATAGACACTTGTACATGTATGATCACTCTAGGGTCACTGTGAAGTACAATAGATATCCACATACCCCCTTACTAACTCTAAGCTAACCATAAATAAGATACCCCCTTGCCAACTAGCCTCCCACCCCAAAGATAAGGCCTTAAAATGTACATCAAGGACAAGCAAACAGACAAAACAAAGCTATACATATACCACCAAAAAATGACCTTAGACAGAGCTGTCCAAAAACCAATCCATCTATGACAAGTAGAGAGAAAAGAGTCGTCCACCCCTCCCATATGAACAGCTGAAGACAAAAGGCTCACAGATCCTCCATCTTTCCAGAACACCCTGATTCTTTCTTGTCAGGGTAGCTACCTAGCTTTTCCTTTCTCCCTCCTTTTTCCTCTTTACAAATAGAAGGCCTTTCTTTTGTTAAACTTTGTCTCTTGAATTTATTTTTGGGGCTGAGTTACAACCCTAGTGAGCCCCTCAGACTACAGAGCAGTGGTGCCTGTCCTCCAGAACAGTTTGGCTTTGCACAAATAAACACATCCGCTGTTCATACTAACTGTCCCCAAATGGTCTTTCAGCTTCACCTTTGCTCCAACTGAATCACCTCCAAGACGTGTGGTCAGTCTGAGAATAGAATTGCCAGTCTCTTCCCAGGCTACTCTCTCTGATCATGGTAGCACATGATATCTTAGCCAACTAGGTAAACAACATGACCTCACCATTCCAGCCCAGCCACCATCAATGTTGCCAATTATAAGAAGAGTTCCCATCACACCGAGATGACATGGAAAAATACAATGCACCATGAAAGTAACCTGGTAAATATTATTGGATAGATTGTCGTCAGGAAGACAAAAATTCTGGTGACCTCGTTTCACTTTTGCCCTTTAAGGCATCCCTGGGACCAAGATGAGCACCTGATCTTTCATCACCCCACAACACATAGGGTGAGTGAGGCTGCGCACTCAGTGGACCTAAAGAAATGGGACTTTCCCAAGTCAGTTCTACATGTAGTACAGCATAATTCTCTTACCTTCCCTCGGAAGACAAAAATGTGGACCTTTGCAATATGTATTTTACCTGCTCCTGATCCCACAAATGCTAGGAAATGTATACTTTATTTTTGTTCTTAGGATGTAATCCAGAGAAAGAAAGACTTCTAATCTTAAACTTACTTTATCACAGACAAGTCTTCTTTGGCTTTTTAAATATATGTGCTTGCTTCATAAAGCCGTATAAATATTAACTAAATGATTCTAAGAACAAAATGTAAATTACAGTGGTGTTAGAACCTTAGTACAAGCGGAGATTCAATTTGGAACTTCCTCAGGTTCCCACCACTGATTCAGATTGGATGGTTATATTCTAGGTTGCTACATCTTTTTTCAGCTTTTCTGTCTTGCCCATGTACAGTAATCTAATCCACCACCTGCCAACACCCACGGTGACCCAAGCTCAGTGGAAGACTATGAATGTTGAGCTGTTCACGGGGCTGTGCCTTTCAGTGTCAAGCAAAATATTTGAGCCAAACAGAGAAGTCACAAATCCTGGGAAATCTATGGCAAGTGATGGGCAGGCAACAGAGGAGATGATAGGAGAGCCCACAGGTTGCACCATACAGATCAAACTAAATACAACAGTTAACCAGCGCTGGCTCAAGCCATCACAAAGGGAGGTAGAGTTGAGAAAAGTGAAACTAATGTTGATTAACATTTTAACGAAAGAGTCAAATAAACAGCAAGTATGTTCTGTCTCAAGGGCGAACTCTCTTGAGGTTTTTAGCAAAAGGCAACAGTAGGGTCAGGATCACCCATGACTTTCAGATTCTACCATTGTGCTTGTTAAAAGCAGGGACAGGAAGTAAAGGGTTTGTTTCTGCTTTGGTTAAAATAAATAAATAAATAAATAAATACATACATACATACATACATACATACCACCATCTCAGCGTCCTGTCAGTTCCCACTCCTTACATCAGAAACCAACTGCCAGCTTCCCCAAGCACTGTGGCTTCAGTGTGTAGTCCCTTCATAGCGGAGAGAGAGGGGGATGAGGTAGCACCACAGTTTTTGAATAGAGCATTTCAACTGGTTCACTAACTTAACAAATTGAGTAGTGACAACGCCGCCAGAGAGAAATCACAGAGGTGCATCAGACAACATCTCGACTCCGATCTCTCTTGGGGGCGGCTTATCAGGGAGAGGGAAGAACCTACAGAATTATTATGTGACTTGTTGAGTGACAAAGACCAGGAAGAAGGAGGCGAGAGCTGCAATCAGGTAAGATCTCTTGGAGCAGTTTGGGCAGATAACATCGAATGGCTTCCGCAAAGATCTGAAAGAACAATTCAAACAGTGGTACAGAGTGAACAGATTTTCTATGGGAGAAAAAAAAAGTCCAACTTATAGGTTTGGTTCGTTTTTATGTCGTTTTTAATTAACAGAGTTAGTATCTGGAGGTGAACTGATGCTCTGTTTCACCACAGGATAGAAGGACGTGTGATCTACACCTAAAGTTACGCAACAAGAACGCCCAGTTCCCCGGCGTTCTGCTCGCTGCCTGTGAATCACCCGGAGAACTTTAAATTGCTCAGTACTTCCGCTGTCCAATGGCAAGGAAAGCTGTACTTTGTTCGCAGCTGATTGGCTAGTGTAAAACTCCGCTCCGAGCAACAACCAATGATTGCTCTCCGGGGCCCCATTCTTGGAACCGGTTTCGGGTCTGGGTCTGGAATGCGTGACATTGAGACAGCTTCGGAGTTGTAAACAAGGACAAGTCCCGGCCGGCCCCCGCCCACGCCACCCGGGGCGCAGTCCTCCGAGACCAATCCAGAGCCCACGTTGTCTAGCTGTCCGCTTCAGCTAAAGCTCCTGGTCGCCTTCCCACCCTTTGCCCTCACAGCCCCGGGGACGTGCCAGGCCCTCGGCGGTCACTGTGCCAGGCCATTCTGCGGGAACCACGTCGGGGGTGGGGCCTAAAGTTCTTTCTCCCCAGCAATTGGCGTGGCCCCAAGTTCTGGACGTGTCTGCGAGTCCGGAGACGCCTCCTGGTACTGGCTGGGGAGAGAGGGCAGGGGGACACATAAAAGGCCGCGCGGGTGCCTGGAGACCGAGTCTCAGCCCCTGCACCTCCTCGGAGCCACCGCAGGCCCCTCCGCCAACGCACCCAGACCCGCGCCCGCAGTGCACCTGTCGCGCTCCCTTGACCTCGATTCTGCTCCCGCTCGGTCCCGAGGGCGTCAGGATGAAGGCGGCCCGCTTCGTGGTGCGCAGCGCCAGCTCGCTGAGCAGCGCGGGCCTGGTGCCCCGGGAGGTAGAGCTCTTCTCGCGCTACAGCCCGTCCCCGCTGTCCATGAAGCAGCTGCTGGACTTCGGTGAGCAGGATGCAGAGCGGGCTGGGGGCGCCGGGGCGGGGACCGACCATGATGTTGGGGTCCGACGTTGGAAGGGCTGGGCCTCAGATAAACAACAGGGATACCCCCCCACACACACACACACACTGCTTTCTGAAGTCGGGGTGCAGGTCAAGACCGCGGGCAGCCTTGCTGCTGCTACTGGGTGGCTTTAGCTCACTTTTCCTCTTGTTTGTCCGGATTTTGGAGTCATAAAAAAATTCGCTTTTACTACCCCTTAGCAATGGACTAGAAACTTTAGTCCCTCTTTCACAATGTGGTCTTTCTGAGACAAGAGTTCTAATATTTCTAAAGTTGCCTCAAATCAATAGAGTTTTCCCTCCACCTCCCCTCAGGGGACATCCCTTCGAATTCTCAAGGCATCTTTGTCTTTTTACTGCTGTAATGTTCCATATATTGAAAACATTTAACACATCCATATGTTGTAAGTACTTGCACACGTTCTGCAAGGATCTTGAAAAATAGCATCAAGTGTTTCATAAAGTAAAGCACTGTGAAACTCTTATGTCCTTCTCTTGTTGGCTTTGCACTCCTCCTGCACATCAAATCATTAAAGGACATTACGTCGGTGCCCTGGTCACTAACTCTTGTATTTTTTTTTCATGAATACTAACACCTGTGTGATTGCTGCCTTCAATGGAAGGAATCTTCCTCAAAAACAGGAAACAATAATTCCCATACATTTGTCACTTTTTTTTAAAAGAGAAAAAAAAACCTGTAAAGATTTACTTGTAAATAACAACTCAACTGTGGTTGACATACAGCTTTCTATGTGTGCATGTTGAATATCTGATAGTTCATGATTTGTGCATATTCCACTGAGATGTATTGCTTTCCAAAAACTAAATAAACTTCACTTATTATAGGTTCACACAATGCATGTGAAAGAACTTCTTTCGCATTTTTGAGACAAGAATTGCCTGTGAGGCTAGCCAATATCCTGAAGGAAATTGATATCCTCCCTGACCGGTTAGTGAATACGTCCTCAGTACAGTTGGTTAAAAGCTGGTAAGTAGTGATCAGCTTTGAACTCTCTAGTTTTAAATAGTTACCTGAATATGGTTTCTTGAAGTAATTCCACAATTGGAATACAGATAGTTTACATAGTAAATAATTTGAGAATATGTAAAAAACAAAACAATATTTACTTAGGCTAAGTTATCATTAGGGCAGTTGTAAAGCTTGGAAGAGATTTTTTCATACTCGGTAAAACTAGACTCCTTTACAATATAATTGTCCTTTTGGAAGTAATTTGGAAAATAATATACATGTACAGTTTTAATTTCTTATTTTACATAATAAAAGTTTGACATTGCCAAGGAATTCCTGTGCCTAGAAACAATTCAGATGGGTACTGTTTAGGCAGGTGGTTCTGAGACTAAGGTTTAGAAGGATATTTTTTTTCCTTTGCCTGGCTCAGGATGCCTTAAGGGAAGGTCTGGTAAGGCATGAGAATCTGGGGATTGAACCGCAGCATCTGAGCCTGACTGCTTTGCTTAAGCAGGCACTTAAAGAACTGAACTAATGGGCAGGCCACAGGTACTGTTTAGGAAGTAGTCAAATTCTACCTCTGCCATTCCCTAGTTGTGGACTCTTAGGCAAGTGCTAGAAACTGTCTATGGCTCAATTCTCTCCACAAGGAGAGTAAATTATAAGTCTTAAATGGGTATTTGAATTTGATTGAGGTAATACATTAAAACAAAAAACCCTTAGAACACCATCTAGAACTCGGTGACAGCTATGATCTCATTTGACAAATAAGGATACTGATACTTAGAGTAAACAGAGAGCCCACAAGAACAGATCTTTAGAGAAGGAGTTGGCAGTGCACTGGAGCAGATGACCGGGGACCTCACCTGAACCCACTGATACACAGCTGTTTCTTCACTGAAGCAAGAGATATGTGTACTCCACACCCTTAAGAAAGTCAGAGGCCAAAACTAATGCTCAAACTATAGAGCTCGCTGCTACAGTCTGTACTTTCTACTCAACCCTCTTCTCTTCTTATAGTAGAAAAATAGGAAGCCCACTTTTTAAAAGTTATTTCTAAAGGTTTTTATTATCAAAAAGATATTTACCAACCACAGTGGTCAGGGATCTGACAATGACTTGGAGACATTTAAAGAAGCACTTTAAGTTAAATTTTAACTTATAAAGTGGAGGGTAAAAGTTGTACTTTTAAGTTTATGACATACAGTCTTCCTAGTGTTCGGAAGGAATGTTTTCATTTCAAGCACAATGCTTGTTGTCTTTCTTCACATCATTTAAAAAAGGTGTTTTGTTTCCAGCCATTTGACTCTGTTGAGGTTCTAACAAAGCACACTTACTGTTTTGCAGGTATATCCAGAGCCTAATGGACTTGGTGGAATTCCATGAAAAAAGCCCAGATGACCAAAAAGCCTTATCAGAGTAAGCTCTGTTCATTGGAATAAGTGTTTAAAAAGCTGGCTGTTTGCTGACATATTCCTAAGAGTATGCCCCAAATTTTTAGCCTTAAATTCAATGGGCTGTACCCAAAGTTACTGTCCTCTTACAGATGACAAATTTTAGTTTATTTTTTTTTAGACTTAAAGAACCATAGTATTGAAAATGGAAGCTGAGTATGAAAAAAATGGAGACAACATGATGTTCTCCTTTCCTGAAAAGTATTGCATTTTTGTTATAAGTTTAGGACTAATGAAATTTTCAGGAGAATTTATTATTACAAAATATTAAAATATTTTAACATCATTATAGTTTGTATACTTTCTTTTAGAGTAACTTCAGTTTACTCTTTTTTTTAAGTCTAACAAGAATTTTGAGAGTTTTTTCACAATAATATTTAAGAGTCATTTTTTTATTTTTTTTAAGAGAAGGCTGAATGAACAGCTATAATGAATGCACTGGCTATAGATCTGATGGTTTTCATGCAACCTAGAAATAAAACATATCTGTTTATAAAACTATCTCCTCTAGTGTAGTAAAGGAAACCTTATTAAGAGTCCTAATAAAACTTACCCAACCATCTTACCATTTGATTTATTTAGAAGAAGCCTTCTTTGAAGCAATCTAATGACAAAAACTGTATGAAACTTGTATACCTTTTACTAACTCTAAATCTAATGGCTTAGCTTTGTAGATACGCTCATCAAAGTCCGAAATAGACACCACAACGTAGTCCCTACAATGGCACAAGGAATCCTAGAGTATAAAGAAAGCTGTACATTTGACCCAGTCACCAATCAAAATCTCCAGTACTTTCTGGACCGATTTTACATGAACCGTATTTCTACTCGCATGCTGATGAACCAGCACAGTAAGTGAGCTCACGGGGATCATGAGTCTTTAGACATGTAGGTGACAAGGCATGGCTTGTCTACATGGCCACTCCGCAGGGGTCACATTTCTTTCTCAGTGGTAGTGCCAACCATGATCCTGATTTTTACTAACAACTTTTTTTTTTTTTTAAACAGTTCTTATATTTAGTGATGAGAAGACAGGAAACCCAACCCACATTGGAAGCATTGATCCACACTGTGACGTGGCAGCAGTGGTCCAAGGTAATTTCTAGATTTCTGCCCCCTCTTTCTGAAGCTGTAATTGATTGACGTATCTATAATCAAGGTGACTGAATGAATTTATGTTCACAGGGCTCCATTTATACTTTTATAAACATGTTATCAAAATCCTTTGCTTTTGAGAGTTAGGAATAGAAACACTAACTTATAATATTATCAAAAACTTAAACATAAATGGCTAAGGTGCTGTATCCTTAAGTGAACATATTCCTATTCTTGGAGTTAGAATCAACAAAATATTCTTAGGCAAAGCATTAAAAGGCATTTTCCATATACAAAACTCATACTCTACTGAGTACTATAGATTAAGGGTAGTACACACATGGACAATCACTTGAAAACCATAATTGTCATGAAGTCATTTCGTTATTGTGAAATACTTTATATTTCAGATGCCTTTGACTGTGCGAAGATGCTCTGTGAACAGTACTATCTAACCTCTCCAGAAATGAAGCTTACACAAGTGAATGGTAAGCTGTGAATAAAATGTACTTCCATCTATAGGAAACCCAAGGTTTTTCCAGTGTAATCTTTTTAAATAATAATACTTTTATAAATAATTTCTTCTCCTTTGAACATGCCAAAAACTTATTCACATATCTGAAGCCACATTTCTCTATAATTCTCACAACTGGAACCCTCCAGTGGTGCATATTCAGCAACTAATGATGATTCATAAACAATAGTTTGAATGAATAAGTTGAGATTTAAAGAGCAACTAAGTTCCAGTAACTTAGTCAAGGAAGATTATTTATTATAGAATGTGAAGGATGAGAAATTTGGAAATAAGAACATTTAGCACTGAAGATATCCTTCTAAGAGGTTATTCACAACACCTAGAAAAAAATATATACTTTAAATTGACCGTAAGAAGTGTGTTAGTCACAGAATGACAGACAGTGCATCATTCCACATACATGAGACATCCAAAATAGTCATACAGAAGCAGAAAGTAAAATAGTGGCTTCCAGGGGTTAGGGAGAGGGAGGGTGGAAACCTGGTATTCAACATGTCTAGAGTTTCAGTTATACAAGATGAGTACATTTCAGAGATCTACTGTAATACCATAGTACCTATAGTTAACAATACTGAATTGTGCATTTAAAATTTGGTAAGAGTGTAGAACTCATGGCTAATGCTCTTATCACAATAAAAATGTACTATTGATATATACACTGTTTGAAAGAACATTCTTTAAAAGCTTCAATTCTGGATATCCAAGGAATCCCCACACTGAAGTGATTACATGATGACTGAAAGATACTTCTTTTTTCCTATCCTAGCCTATTCTGGGTAGATAGTTTCATCTCAGAGCGAAACAATATACAGAAATTAGAGCAGGCTTCTCTTTGATTCAAAGTAAACATTTTTTTTTTTTTTTTGCTGGTACCAGGGATCAAACTCAGGACCTTGTGCTTGCCAGGCAAGCACTTATTCCACTGAGCTATCTCCCCAGCCTCAAAGTAAACCTCTTTTCCAAGTAATATTTATAGAAATAATTTTTGTCACCATTGAGTTAAGATAACTTGTTTGACTTAAGAGTACAGTAATTTAACTCACAGCTTAGGGTAAAACAAATGTTGGTGAGTACAAAGTTTGAAAAACATCTCTAAATATAAGCAGCATTGTTGCATAATACTTGTAGATAAACTGCTGGAACTGTCTGATAAAACACTGAGGGGATTGTCCTAGGCCTTGTGTTTTTGAGTCGAACTTTGCCAAGGATAGGATACCAAAGAATAATACTTTCATTTTTCTTTTCACACAGTATCATGAGGTTTTTGTTTCTCTGTTTTCTTTAGCCTGTTAGTGAAGTTAAAGCTTACCAAAAAGATCCTCAGATATTTTAAATTCCCATGCATGAAAATTCAAAAATTATAGTTGGCATGAATTTCAAGATTAAAATGTAAGCAATATTCTTTCTCTTATCTTCAAATGATTATAATGTTAACTGAAATTCTCCAGTACAAGCATGTTAAAAATAGAAATGAATAATCTAAATCCAACTTATAGTCTAATTATTTCACATTTTACTCCACTTCATACATTAGAAATGCAAAAAAAAACAGAGATCTAGTTAGCAAATGAATAGCGTTTTAAAAATAAACCAATCGTCTTTATTACTAGTGGGAGAGTTTTACCGAAGAATTATTGGGTAGGAAGTGTGAGAAATATTCCAACCCTATTTAAAATCTAAACTATTAATCAAATAAATGTGGAGGTTTATTTTAGTGAAATATTTATTTCTTGATTCTGAATAAATATTATTTCCCTAGGTAAATCTCCAGGCCAACCAATTAACATTGTGTATGTTCCTTCTCATCTTCATCATATGCTCTTTGAATTATTCAAGGTAAGACTAAGTATAATGATTTTGATTTTTGTCTTTCAACTAGTTTACTAGTTATATTGCTATTTCCTTCATCATGCCTGTCTAGAAAACAGCCTCAGTATCTTCTCATAAGAATAGTTCAGTGATGGTAACGGAAAGAAGTTACACAGCAGTATTTGAAAAAATACATGCACCTCACTGTGATAGCAATGCATGTTTGAGAATGCAGAGCATGATTGAGGACATCTTACTGCTTTAGAAACAAGTGGATGCTCTCTCATTATTTTCCCAAATGCCCAAAAAGCAACAGTGTAATAAGACCTTGCACCTCTGTCTCTCCAGGCTGTTCCAACTCAAAACACAAAAGGCTCAAATCCAGTCACCATAAGTGATCCGTCCACATTCTGAGTCCTGAATGTGCTCAGAGAATAGTCAGTTCCTTCAGTGATTTACTTTAGTGTACAGAATCACCTAGAGACTTGATTAAAATCCAAAATTGATTCAGTAGGTCAGTGCTAGGACCTGAGATTCTTGAATTTCTGGCGAGCTAATGGGAAGTCCTGGTCCACATTCCACGTAGGCAGGGCGACAGAGCAATGCTTCTCAAACTTTAGCAAGCACTACATTCTCTCGTGCATGCTGTAACCTACATGCTCAGGCTCTGTCCTAGAGTTTAGAACCTACAATTGTGAGAATTTTCATTTCTGATAAACTTTTCAGAGGATTCTGATGTTTTTCTCTGAGTTAACCCAGGGCAAAGAATCAATCCTCTCATGGATTCTGACTTCAAACCACAACTCTAAACTTAAACCAGAAAGAAAACAAAATGATCACCTGAAGCTTTGTGACATTTTTCCAGGGACCCCTACGGGGGAGAGGAGGAAAGAAAAAAAAAAGCAAAATGTAACTCTAATTCTGACATAACTCTTCAGAATTTATTGTTTTGTGACATTCTACTGAAATGTTGATTGAACTGCAGACATCTGATCTATTTTATTTCACTTTAGGTAATTAGGAAAACTGAACTATTATATAGTAACCAGAAAGCAGATGATATACTAAAAGGGAATTAGAAATGAGAATGGGTTAAATAACCCAGCACTATTTATCTGCAGGACATTTAAACAACTGGTGAAAAACATATTTTAGCTATGTTCTAAAGGACAAAAAGTACTTTTCCATTGATTTGCTTTATTTTAAATTGAGTGATCCAACTCATAGAGTTATTTGCCATCCCTGGTAAAAGTTAAGATGAAAATCAAAGGTAAATTGAAATTTAATTTAGAATTATTGGCTGTCTTTTTAAATAGTAACAACCTTTTCCTGCAAATTTTATACAAGTCAATAAATTGGTTCAATGATTCACTGTTCATTTGTTATGTAATAATCTCTCGTGCTTGAATATAAAATGTAATGGAAAGACAAAAAAGGGAAAGCTAGGAAATGGACTATAAAAACCAATTTCTACATTTAAATTAAGCTTACAAATAAGAACTTGACAGCTAGCAGAATTGTTTTTCTATTAGACATTACTCCCAGGAGCTGTATTACATGCTAAATGAATATTTTTCATTATTCGTACTGTTTGACGCTTTTATAAATGGCTATTTACAGAGCTATTTTACTACTAACTTAAAAAATAGAAACTTTGAATTACCCTCTGTGCATCTCTAATTTTAAGCGTAAAAAGCAGTTGTTTATTATTCCTCATTCTGCCATTGAATTCCTTATGCTTTTTCCCCCTTAGAATGCAATGAGGGCGACAGTTGAACACCAGGAAAGTAGTCCTTCCCTTACACCAATTGAAGTGATTGTCGTCTTGGGAAACGAAGATCTTACAATCAAGGTAACCTTTCTCTGCTTTTCTTTGTTCTTTTCTTGAAAGAATTTTTTTCAAGGTCAATCATAATAAGGCTCCCTATTTTGGGCAGTGGATCAAAGTCATGTGTATCAGATAACTTACAATGAAGGAAAGACTTTTTATGTAAACAAGTTCATGCTGTTTTTAATGTCTACCTCTGATGACTTTTTTAATATCAGATTTCAGACAGAGGGGGTGGTGTTCCGCTGAGGATTACTGACCGCCTCTTCAGTTACACATACTCCACAGCACCAACACCTGTGATGGATAATTCCCGGAATGCTCCTTTGGTAAGATCAATTATATGGCTAAATTCATCCTGGCCTCCTAGTTTTAAATTAGAACAGGGATTATGGAGAAGAATTTAGACAAGTTAATCAATCTAGTTAAGTTACATGTGAGGGCCATGAGATAAAATAATAAATGAAGGGAAACATGGTGAAAAACAGTGCTACAAGGGGTCCCTGATTGGAAGCAAAAGATGTTTCCTTAGCTTCACAGACCTAAGTATCATTGAGGATCACAACACTTTCCTACATTTCCATATTCCACTAGTCACATCCACTTCTATACTAATGACTGCTCTTTTCCCTTCTAGGCTGGTTTTGGTTACGGCTTGCCCATTTCTCGCCTCTATGCCAAATACTTTCAAGGAGATCTGAACCTCTACTCTTTGTCAGGCTATGGAACAGATGCTATTATCTACTTAAAGGTATTCTTCAAATTCAATTAAAAAAAATCTGTTTCTAGGATGATTACTTCTTTTTACAGTTCTTAGATCTATGGTCCAGAGTGAATGCCCTAAGCTGAATTAATGCAAATAAGTGACCATGAGTCCCTCGTTCTGTTTTCTATTTAGATGTGTGAGCACAAATCCTTTATCGTGATAACTTACTAAGGTGAATGCTAGGTCATACTACTTGGCTAACATGAAGCAAAGTTGGTCCCAAGAAGAGTACCAAGATTCAGAGTGAGAACAAGCATGCTCATGCCAAATTTTTATGGCAACTTACTTCATTTTGGCATTCGATAAAGTAGCTGTATTTTAATATTACTTAAAATTGTGCAAAATAAATGTTAATAATGTTCTAGCCTACAAAGCAACCCAAATGAAGACACTCAAGACCTTAAACTGACCTTATTAGAAATCCATAGCAAGAAAATTGACAGTTCACACTGTCAGCAGGATGCCAGGCATTTCCTATTTGAACTTTAAAACCTGGTGTCCATGTATCTTTCTATTTGGAATTAAGCCTCAATTTATTTGTTAAGATCCCTGTCCTGATTTTGTTAATCATTTGCTACCTATTTCAACTAAAATTATATTTACCTCTAATAGCAACTAAAACATTAAGTTTCTAGGTTCCCATTTTGCACTGGGCTTAATTGCTAATGGACTTTGTCAAAAATAGTGAATTGCTGCTTTCTGAAGTTGCCAAAAAATCTTTAAACTTATAGGAAACAGCTTCTTAATAAATTAATAATGTCAGATTAGTAAGCTCTCTTTATCACAGATTCAGAAGTTTTTCTTTGGAAGCAATAGTTTTGCTGTTCATTTTTGTCTTATTGGCAATATCCAAAGGATATGTGCAAATATGGAACATACTGAACATAAATTCTATTCCCTAAGTTATAATTATATATGTACTATTTTTAGTTCCTATTGAGTGGAACTAGTATTTCTTGGTTTTGTTCTATAAAGTACCTAAGACTGTGGATATTACTGCTTTCTTGCTACTAAATGAGTGAGATGAATGTATTTGAATATTAAATACCTCTGAATGAATTTTGAATAATCAAATGCGAATTATGCCACCCATAATTTCTTTGGTCTGGTATGTTTTCTCTTTTCTTTAGGCTTTGTCGTCTGAGTCCATAGAAAAACTCCCTGTCTTTAATAAGTCAGCCTTCAAACACTACCAGACGAGTTCGGAAGCTGACGACTGGTGTATTCCAAGCAAGGAACCAAAGAATGTGGCAAACCAAAAAGTGGCCATGTGAAGAGTAACATTCAGGATACTCTGTGGATCAAAGTGGGTCTAGGGCAGTGTTGCTTCTCAAATGTTTGTGTGTGAAGACTTGTTTCCACAAAAACAGATCACAGCAACAGAAACATTAATCCAGCAAGGAGTGGTATTCATTTCCATGACCCAGGGGGAGACAGGGCAGAGCTACCGGAGCTGAAGGAGGGCCAGAGCCTTGCTCTGCAGTGTAGAATGACCCGTGGGCATACTGCAGATTGTTTTCATCTCTTTATCAGCAGGAATGGAGAAGGGAGTAAACAAGGAAGACAGATGTTAGCAGTTTCAAATGGAAGATATTTCAGAACATTTGTTTGATATCCAAAGATACTGGTATTCAATGAATATCAAGTGTTAAGATACCAGGACTTTCCTGCCATGCAATGAGTGAAGTTTAGTTTAGACTATGTGCCTAGAGATATATGCAAATGGACATCTCACAAATACTATATTTACACGCCCTAGGGAAAAGGGAACAGTGACTGACATAATGTTCACTGCAGTTAAAAGAGGAAGAGTGGGCCAACACATTGTATTCAAGGTTGCAGCCAAGATATTGGGCCTGTGTAAAAACTCAGAAGAAAGCCTTTCTGACAATTATTGCTCCTTGATATGCTGCTTTTCTATTTCATGCAATAAGCCAATGCTTATTGCCAAGTGCCCTGTCTTGGATGAATTGTGGAAGGTGAATTGAGTTCAAGACGTTGGAGAATGAAGAAAGGAAAGAATTGCCAAAGTGACAGTAAAGCTTCATCTTCCCTTACTTTGCTTATAAATGAAAGAGTAGGTTGACAAACACTATTGTTAGGGAAAGAAACCTCCTATCCGGTACCTAATCTCAGTAGGGTTTAAAACTGTTCTCCACCTGAAGTAATGATAAGGCCAAGGCATCCATTTCTTAAGCTTTAAAAGTGGAAGTTTTGCTACGTTTGATTATGTTCTCTACACTCCAGCATTAACATCGTTGTTAAAAACATTTTCTAGTCATAAGGCCCAAGAACATTAAAATTTAAATACTTTTTGGAGCATTTTTAAATTTTTTTTCATTTATGTATTTGGTACAGGTCACTGTACAGCTCAGACTTGTAGTGATCCTCCTGTTTTTAGCCTCCCCAGTGCTGGGATTACAGGCATGTGCCACCATGCCTGGATTAGGGTGTCAACTCAGCACTCCCTGGGGATGGAACCAGTGTGGCATGCTGCACTGGGGTTCGAACCCTGGTTCCTGCACTTTCTGAGCACTTAGTCTGCTGAGCTATCTCACCAGCCCTGGAGCATATTTTTTTTTAAAAAAGCAAGAGGTTTTCATGCCCAGGATGCTTTCATCTAAGGATGGCTAGGATCGGGACTCTTGAGTGAAAGCTTTAATGCAGATGGCACTTGGGGCACCAAGGGGACTCTACAGGTCGGTGGCTATTCACCTGAGCTGTTCTTAGCTAGTGAGTGAAGAAATGAAAGACATAGGGAAAGAGGAATGGAGGAAATCAGAAGGCAGGCGTCTCTCTGTTCTCCCCACAAACTATTCCAAGGGGTGATTTGTATTTTTATGAGTAAATTATGGACCAGAAGATGGTGTGTTTCAAAGCAGCATGCCGCCTTTTAGTGGCTCCCACACTTACAAGGTAATAGGCTGATGTTGAGATAATGACTTCATCTGTGTCAAATTATGTATGAACTAACACACAGGAAGAGGCCTAGAATTGTCTGACTTGTTCAGCATTGTGTGTATGTTGATTGTGTTTAACTTCGTGATGACCTAGATGGTAGGTCTTAGAGTCATGGTGCTTCTGGTTGGGGCGAGAGCCCTCAACCCTTCGTTGTGAATTTAAGATACTGTCATCAGAAGTCCTCAATAGTGACTTTTTTTGATGGTGGGACTTTGACTTACGCAATTACTACTTACACAGAACTGTTTGCCATAGGTTGCCTGATGGCTCAGCTTTTGATTGCAATGTGAACAAAATATTTTTGCATGTACTTATTTGTATTTACCAAAGATTTGGAGCAGTTAATTAATTAAATAACCTAAACACTGAATACTATCTTTAAAATACTAAAACATGAATGAAAAAGACAAGTTAGTAACCCAATCATGTCATCTATGTAAGTACATAAATGTCCACTTTGGTATTTGTGGAGTAGACGGAAGACCATTTGGATTCCAGTGGATGGTTGTTAAGTGCCCAGGCCCACTTACATTATTAATGTATGAGTTCTGTTCTGGTCTTTTAGTTATGTGCAGAGAAATGTGATGATTTTTATAATAAATATTTTTAGTATTAAATTGTGGTCATTCAGTTCTTGAGTAATCTCTGAGTACAGTGACTAATGAGTTAAAGAGTTTCCTGGTGTTATATTCAATTTTAATTAATCTATAAAATTTTCATAGCCTTGCAAAAGAATTAAAACAACTTACTATCAATTTTTTTTTTCTTTTTTTGGTGGAACTGGGGATTGAACTCAGGTACTTGAGCTTGCCAGGCAAGCACTTATTCCACTGAGCCATCTCTCTGGCCCCCTATCAATTATTTTTAAAGTATCAATGCTTTACAGAAGTTTAGAAATTCCAGATTGTCTTTGTGTGTACCTCACTTAAGACTTAGTTCCAAGATATGTTTACCTGCATGTATTTATCCAATAATTATTTTTGGAATGCATGTGTTTCCTGCATTCTTTTTTCATAAATACAGTTTCCGTAGTGTCTGAATTTGCCTAAATTCAGTGCAATATCAAATTAACTTCCTAGATTATTTAGTTTCCCGAACAACTTTTAGATTCAGAATTGAATAATAGTAAAGTAAAAATAGGATGAGGGATACTAAGTTAATTTGTAACATATGTTATCTTTACTATTTTTAGTGACTTCCTCTACTAATTTCATTCTTTATGTTTAGACAACAGCCTTTGCTCACCTTCATAAATATCCTTCCTGGCAACGTTCTGCAAATAAGACCCCCCCCCAAAAAAAAAGAGGGAGGGGAAAAAGAAAAACTAGAACAAATTAGTATAATGAGTTTGCCATAATTAAATTCTGAAGTCTTGTCAGAATAATCATATTTGAAGCAAAATTACGATGAGCTCCAATCTATGTTGAAGCTCTTCAATGACACTGTCCTTTGGCTTATAGACAGTCATTTCTTCTGCATGTTGTGAAGCAGCACCATACTACACCACACACACACACACACACACACACACACACACACACACACACATCAGGAGCAGCAGCACCATCACTCTCATTGGTTATAGCTGTACAATTTTCCTGATTCAAGATGCTTATCAAGCAGGGAGCTAGTGTATTGTACGAGCCCAAAAACCTCTTACATTTCCACCGTAACTGCAAGACACTGAAGCCTCTGGCTCTCCTTGTATGCACACATGTAGCTTTTTGGCTGAAGTCAATGTGTGTCCCCAAGGGAAACCATTAAATTCAAAAAAATAGGCCAAACATTCATCAAAATTACATCTAGTTTATTCCATTCAGATTTCAAACTTGGCTAGGCATAGCAAGATCACTTGCTCTCAATAGCTATGATTTTTACGAAGAGAGCTATTGTGAGCTCACAGCCTGACTTTGATTATTTCTTCACATTCCTACTATACTTTCAAAGATCACATTTACATTTAACTGTATACTAACACTGAAAAGTATGTGGAATCACCTGGTCACTTTGTCCTGACATGGTGAAAGAGTTGAGGTACTTTTATAAATTGCGCAGAAACCCATGTGAGAAATCACTAAACTTCCACCATAAGCACTCACTGCAAAAGCATTACAGTACTTACACATCTCTTTGTTTAATGTATTACTTTTTAGATTTTATTATTTACATCACACTTACGTATCAGTCAAGGTTCACGAGAGCAATAGATTTTAATATTTTGCATGTATGATCTATAAAGGATTTGCGAGGTAGGCTTAAAATGGCCATCTGCAGAATTGGAAGAATGCAAAAGGGCCTCGGCCTGCAGCTCACTGCGGAGTCCTGGGAAAGCCTGTGATGGAAAGCCCGTCAGTCTGTGTTGGAAGGCTGTGGAGTCTGCACTGCACGCCTGGAGACAAACATGTAAAGGCAATGGCAGGGTGGGAGCACCTCCAGAGACATGAAGCGAGACTGCCTGCTTTCCTTTTTTCATTACACCCAGTCTATTGTTGGTGCCGTCACCGGGGTTTTCCTTTTTCAGTAAGCCAGTCATCCAGACGTACTCAGAACTGTGCTAATCTGCTCAGCATTTGTTATTCAAATTGGCACCACAATAAACTCTCCCACTCAGAAACTCAATAAACATTCATTTAATAAATACATGAATAAACTTCTGGCATAGCATTGTAGCAATTAAGGGCAAATTAAATGTCATATCAAATAATTGCATAGAAGTTTTATGAGATTTTATGCTTTAAGGGTTATTCAAGAAGTTTTACAAGATTGTAGTCTGGATTATACTTTAAAGCCAGTCAAATTGTAACAGATCTTTGTTCAGTGTCACTGTCCCTGGTGGTCGCTGGCCATTGGAAGTTATCACAGATTTCACGAGAATTTAAATACTGGTTACAGACATGACTGCTAAAGCAATTTCTTGAAGCTGTAGATTAGTATTTTAGATCTTGTATTCCTTCTTGCTCAATTTTTCCTGCTTTTGAAATCATATTACCATACATACAACATAACATCTTAGTGGAAATTAACAAGTGTCTTTTCATGAGATTTTTCATTTCATTCCTAAGTATGAATAAACATCGCCACTTAACCAATTGAAATGTCATGGGCCTTGAAAAGATGTTGAATCTACTCAGTGATGTGACAATGATGTAAACCAGTTTATTGATAAATCCAAAAAGAAAGTTCATCAACAAATTATAAGATGTATTTTAACATTTACCACTATTTAGAGTAATGGTAATAGTACAGAGCTGATTGCCAAATAATACAAAATAGTTAGTAATTATTTATTAATGTACCAGTTTCTGTAAATATAAAGGTTGCTTTATGATCTATTCTGGTCTCTTAAGAGGTACAACTA